CACTGTGGATTTATGAACAAGTTGTAACTTCAAACATTACACGTGCACAGGGTAAACAGGCACTGAGGCATGGCATAATATTCAGACATAGGGCCCATCAATGGATCTAAATGTGTACATATTCACAACTCGGTGCACAAGAGGTTAAGTGAATAAATCCTAGAATGGTTTGGGTGGGAAGGGACCTTTAAAGATCACCTTGTCCAAACCCCCTGCAGTGAGCTGGACTTCTTCAGTGAGGTCAAGTTGCTCAAAGCCCCGTGTCCAACCTGGCCTTGAATGTTTCCAGGGATGGGGCATCAACCACCTCTCGGGGTCACTTGTGCCAGTGTTTCACCACCCTCATCGTAAAAAATTTCTTCCTTGTAGCAAGTCTAAATCTACCCTATTTTAGTTTAAAACCATTGCTCCTTGTCCTATCACAAGTCCTACTAAAAAATTTGTACCCATCTTTCTTATAAGACCCCTTTAAGTATTCACTAAGAAGGGAGCTGAAAACATAAAATATGGCACAAGAAACAAAACATGCTGATCTACAGAGCAGCCCTTTATTTTGGCTACAAGTCTAGGAATCTCCCAAATTGACATCTGTAAGAGCAAATACTGAAAGCCCTTTATTTTTTAATAGGAACAAGATACTATGTGATGTGCATATAAACACAGATGAAACCAATGTATTAAAAGCATTTGTTCCAAATTCTGATTAAAGAACAAAGCAAGAAAGATTCAATAATACAGAGAACTTCTTGAACTATCTACACTCTGTTATTTTAACTTCTTTTCCCAGGTTTTCATACCTAACTTTTAAATTGTAACAGCTCTGCAGTAAAGGTCCTCTAGTATAATTAATACCTAGTTTCAACTAATGAACCATATACTGCCCATAGTTTCCTCAGTACTCCACGGCACACCACAGTTAGGATCTCTCATTTTCCCACGGACAGTGAAGTCATGAAATCTTAAAGTTTACAGACAATCTGGGATCAAAACAGAGACCAGAACAGCAGAAACACTCATCCATGTGATAGTTCAGGACTTCTGTAAAATCCTAAAAATCCTTCAAAGGAAACCTGTGTACTATCCACCTGAGCTGGCTGTTAACAGCAGGCTGGCTGGCTGCTTTGCATAGGCTTACATCTCCAAACTGCTCCAAGTCCAAAATCTGGAGAGTGAATCAATAACTACTCGCAGTATTAAACTAGAGTACAAACAGCATACGGAAATACCTTGCACAAAGTGACCTACTAGCTGGTTTGTAAACGGTTACACGCATTTTTTCTCCTAAAACAAAGGTTATTCTCAAGCTGGGTTTTAAATGCAAAGATGAATATTTGTTTCCTTCAGTTTAACAAGTCAATCAAGAAGCAGAGCACTGCTGGAAACAGAAGGCTGCTTAGCTAGCTCTACTTTTGTCCTCCCTTGTTTCCACTTCCTCTGCAATGCCTTCCCAGCTATAAATGCTATTTCTCTGATAAAGCTAAAACAAAGTTCTACAAATATAGGTGAAACAGCAAACATTATCAGTGACATGAAAGCCCTGCTTGAACTGAATAGCGTAAATTACCGAGGTGGCAAATGGAAATGTATTACTTACAAATGATACAGTCATCTCTTCTCTAGCACTAAAGTTAATAATTATATCCACGCTGTACTGATTCACAGGAGTAGAATAAGACTACTACCAATTTGTACACTGGATTTGCGTTCTTCAGGCGTGTCTTGCTGGTTTAGCAAACAATTAGAGATGAATCTAGGGGAAGTGGCCCTAACTAGCACACCAAGAAACACCAATATTACTGCTAACAGCTTACTACTAACTTTTCACAAAATTAGCTGTCAGAGAGGAAAAGATCAGATCTATGCTTCATACCTTGATCCATTCTAGTGTTTCAGTTTGCTTCTCCAAACAACAAAAAAAAAAGTTATTGTCAATGCAACAAAAAAAAACCAACTCCTGACTCAAAAAATTCAGTTCTACAACTGTCTCAGCCCCTCAGAGCACAGCAAGCATATTCTGGCTTAGATGATACAGTCAGACCCAGGGAAATTCAGCCCTCTTTGCTCTCTCTCCACAATCAGAAGAGGATTCACGTCTCTCCATGACCATGTATACGTCACAGAACTACAAAGATTTTAAGTATTTCTGAAACAGGAGCTATGCATTTTTCATGAAGGGTAACAAAATGCCTCAATAGTGGCTTCTAATTCACTCTCCCAGTTAATTTTGCAGTTGCTTGCAAAAAGAAAACAAAAACTCCTAGAGTCCATGGTAAAGATAAGGGCTAGGAAACAAAATGAAGTCAAAGGGACACAGAAGAGAACCAGAGCTCTAATCGATAGCTCCTGGCTATGGATATGTCTGGCCATTTGGTGTCAGCAGCCTTACCGAGCAATGAATCATATTCAAATGACAAGTATTTTCCTGCGAGTTGCCAATCTTTGCAATGCTATAGTTGCCACATGTATGTTATGCAATCGCTGAAAAAGGGATGGTGCTCACATAAAGGAAATGCAGTGATCATGAGGCATGTGTGAGCTGATCCACAGTAAAAAACCTGGAAGTTATTTTAGGGAGGGGGATATGATTAAGTTACAACTACATCTCTGACTACTAATGAGATGAGGCACTGAATTTCATTTTTAAAGAGATCTTGCAGAAGGGTGGAGTATCTGAGACAGAAAGTCAGAAACACCAGTCCCTGTGATGCTGATTGACTGAGGTGTCTGGGAATGTCATAAACCTGTGTTTCAGTTCTCCAGCCTGAAACACAGATGATGATGAGGTGTTGTTAAAAACTGTGCATTTTACTAAAACAGTGCAAAGTACTGTATAATCACCACATAGTAGCATAATCCTGAGGAAAGTAGTTTCCCAAAGGGACTCGGTTAATGTAATTAAATGTTTTTATAAAGAAGTCTTAGGTTTTTTTGTATTCGCATTATGACAAAGCAAACAGTATTTCTTCTTACTGGACATTAACTGAAGTAGATGCAAATAAACTGATTCAATGTTAAAATATTGCACCCATACCTTAATTTTTCTGGATTATCTGAATTAAAAAAACAGCAAGATTGACAGTAAATTTGGCCAAGCTATACATGCACCTGAAACACTGATGCTGAAAAATTCCCTATCATTTGATTAAGTAGCTATGTAAGAAATCTGAAAGCAAGTTTCATACAAGCATTTAGTGCTAGAAGCACTGCTCAACATTCTCTGCTGAGAAATGAAACAGTAACCTCTCCACTTGAAGCAAAAAAAGTAAGGAGAACTTGCTTCCCCAAAATTGAAATACTGTAAAAAGTCTCTTGAAAAAAAACCCACAGTACTTCAGAAGGGACATTATCAGGCTACAAGTGTCTGTGTAGCTTTCTTCTATCATCCCAACCAGAATCAAGGTAAGCACAGAAGCAAAAATTAATCCAAGACTGAGTACGTATAGCCAAAGTCTCTAAAAACAAATCACAAACACTGGACTGGCTGTATTCAGTTTTGGCTACATACTCATAGGAGAATGCACTGCCTTACACTTGCCCTCTTAATCTGAGGTTCAGTCAGTTGATCTCAGGAATGCATCCAAAATATTATATGGGATTGAGTCAATCACTTGCCTCTGGGGTGCAGAACTCTCCACAATGAAGTCATGATTCAGCCACCTCTCATGACCTTAATTTCACCTGTATTTGTGATGGGCAATTAAAAATACAAATTATGTTGAGATTAGTGAAGTATGAAGTTCTGGGAAGTCTACTGCAGTACTTAAAACTTCAAGATCTCCACTGCCACAAATAATAATAATAAAAAAAAAAAAAGTCTCTCTTGTTGAAAGTATTACTGTCAACTCTGTACAGCACCACTGTGGTTCAATTCAACTGGATCTCAAGTTAATCAAAACCAGCAGTCAGTACCTACATGGAAAAGAAACAGAAAAACCCTGCACCCTCTACACACATGTGAAATTAATTTTGGCAAGTTGGTAGGCGAGAGCCTCTTTTGACACTGCAGCCTGCTCTCTGGTTCACTACTGTTTCAAATGAGATCTAAAACAGAAGTTTCACCACTTGGAGCAATTGTGATGTGGGACTATGAAAAACAAAATATTGGAACTGAATCCCTTCAGCCTGATTCTAAATTGGATTTTGGCAATTCAAACCCCTGTTATGGCTTATACTAATTAAACTCCTTACAGTAAGAATCTTTGCAAAATGTTTACATGGTTTATCACTAACAAGATGCAATATTTTATTATGAGTCAGCTGTGTTTTAATGCTAGACAAGCCACTTGCTGGCCTCTACTCAGCAACATAACTTCATTAAAAATTCTGCATAATCATGCAATTATCAGTCTCCCTCTTGCTAGATTTTCATTGGTAATAGGGATGATACCCTGTTATATGCATTCATGTTGAAATGATTACAGAGCTTTCATCAACTAGTATGACCACCCTTAAACTGAGGTTAGTTATCAGAACAAATGACTGTGATCTGAACCAGAAAAGGAATTAATGTTCAATAACTCACTTAGTTCCTCCCTCTCCGAATGAAAGCACCCACCTGCCCTGTATGTGTTTCTGCCAACAGCTGACACACCCACCAAAAGTCAGCAAGTTCTCCTTTCTGCAGAGGTCCCCGCACTCCCCCAGCCACCCTTCCCCACCGGGGATTTAGGTCTAATTACTCCAAACTCATCAAAGCAGCGGCGCTGAGAGGGGCTGAGCGCCCCCCCCCCCCCCCCCCCCGCGCCTTCCCGGGGAGGGGGGGGGCAGCGAGGCACCCCAAGACCTCCCACAGACACCCCTCTACGCGCCCAGGCGACGGTGCCTGTCATAAACCTTGTGTTTTAATTACTTTGAGTAATTCTTATTGCGCCGGGCCCTCACCGCGGGGCCGGGGCTAGCGGCTGGCCGCCCCCCCCCCCCCCGCCCACTACCACCACCACCACCACCACCTCCTCCCCGGGCCCCAGCCCGGCGGCGCCCGGTTGAGCGCCGGTTCTCACCATGGTACAGATGGAGGCGAGTCTCCGGACCGTCATCAGTATTTCCATCCGCCCGCCGCGGCCCCGCGCCCCGCGGCCGTCCCCTCTGCCGCCGGCGCCATGTTGGGACGCAGCCGCCCAACTGACAGCGGCAGCCGGAGCCGCAGGTGGCGCAACCGCCAAATGGAGCCGGGCGCCGGCGGTGCGGCGCCCAAACGGCGCCGGCTGCGCGCCGAGCCGCTCCCCTCAGGGGTTCCACCGCCTTTCCGTGTCCCCCCCCCCTTCCCTCTCCTCCAGCCGGGGTGTTGGGAGCCTGCGAGGCCCCCTGCGAGGCCGGGAGGGTGGCAGGAGTCACCGCGGGGCTGGGCTGCGGCTTCCCCCTCAGCCAAAAGGCAGCCGGCTGTGGGGATGGAGGGAGGCGAGATGTGTTTCAATTCCCTCGGGCCGTGGAGGTGGTTTGGAGGCCCCGGTGGGACGGCGGTGAAACTGGAGGAAGGCGCCGGTCCCCACAGGGATGGAGCTGAGGGGCTGGGGGACATCCTCAGATCTCCCCAGCGAGGCAAACCACAGCCACCCTGAAGCACCGAAAGGCTTCGAAGGCGCACGCTCGGAACTCTGCGCTTTCCCTCTTTTCAGTGGTTGTGAGCACCCACAAACAGGTTTTCACCACATGATGCCCAGTTCAAGGATGGAGTCGGGCAGTGTTTTTGCATGAAGTAATCCATCACTGTTCAGCACCACGCGTCCCCGTTTCAGCAAAATCACAAAATGGTCTCTTTCAGAGCACTGCGCTACAAATGACAACAGTGTCTCTTGTAAACCCTGGAGGAAAAGGAGTGAAAAATGTTGCTGAGTCGCCATGCAGCAATTTCAAACGCTGTACACCAAAAGCAAATACACATCAGAGGAAAACATCCCTTGTGAAGCCTGGGACGGGTACAAACGTTTGTCATCTGGCTGATTAAGATCTACAGAATTCTGTCAAACGTGGAAGGAGCCTGGCTCATATTTTGTATTAACTATAAATTGAGTGCTGTCGAAAAGTGCTGATGGAGGTGGCTGGAAACCCTCTGTTCATGCTGTCTGCGAAGCACACCATCAGCAGCGATAGGACTGTTTCCACACGCTGCTCCTTATTCCAGCCCTGACCTTCTGGGAATATCTGTGGGGAAGGGAGGACGGTTCAGTTTCCAAAGCACAAACTTTTTTTATGAGGCCAAGATGTTTCCATTCTATTTGAGTTGCTTGCCTGCAGCGATGTTCTCTTATACACATTGTACTTTCCACGTCATCTACTACAGGCTCCCGAGGGAGATTATTTGGCAACCTAAAAAAAAAAAAAAAAAAAAAAATCCTTACAAAATATGCTAAAAGTGAAATAGGACACGTGCTCCTTACAGGGTTTCCATGAATGGCAACACAACAAAATAAGGGACAGGAAATACAGAAATAGTGGAATATGTAGTGTTTAACCAAATTGAACTATCTATTTAAATGATCGCCTCCCTAACATCCCAAAATAGAATCAAATATGATTTATCACGGCTGTCGCAATATCATCTGAGGACACTTCCTTCCTCTTTGGCCTCAGGATCAGAACAACTTCGTGCTGGGTACAATTATGGTGCTAAAATGGCAGTCTTGTCCCCAGCGAACGTCTTCTGAGGTTATTTCTGAAGCACATGGCCGAATTTTTAATGCCTTTTACCCATGATCGGTCTCCACACAAGGTGAAATCCCAAGCAGACAGAGAAAGACTGGCTCCTCATGCATATCACATTCAGTTTTGTTCCCACCTTATCTCCTGCAAAGGTGCTTTTTATTTGCCTTTCCCAACTATGAGGGTATCTAGTTACTCGGAGCAAAAAGGTAGTTAAAACGCTACTTTTGTTTGGTGCAGTGTGAGAACTGGCCTTTGGGCCCCAAGTCTGCAACAAAGAACAAAGACAGTCAGACAAAGCTGCAAAGATCAATCTGTTGCTGTTTGGAATACATTCAGGAGCGAGGGACGTGTACATGAGTCGCCAGCTACGAGTATTATCACAGTATCTGCCAAAGCAACCGGCACTTCCCCAGCACCACGTTTACCATTTCCGCTCAGGTATGAGCTGTACTTCTCCAGCCATGTCGCCATAATGTCAATATACTGTACAAAACCATCTGAGATATACTGGAGGTAAATGTAACCATTACAAATAGACTTTTAGAAGAAAAATAGTTTTTGCCAGTACTAGGCAGGAAAGAGTGACAACAATTACTGTTTCCCCAACATGCTGGGATCTTAGCAAGATCGTTCTGGCTCTGCTTATCTGTTACTCCTTTTGTAAAATGTATGAGGAATAATTATATCCAGTTTTAAAAGCAATTTGACATCCTCATATGAGGAGCACTATGGTAATAGCAAATATTTTTATTTTTAGAATGCATCATCTCTGAAGATGTGTAGAAGTGCCAACAACAATAAAACCAGAAAATCTTATGAAATCTATAGCCAAAAGCAACATAGACCAATAAATAAATCTGTAAAAAATTTGGTGTGGAAATAACATCATCTCTGTGCAACATGCAAAGGCACATATCCTTGCATGGAGCAACCCAAGGAGTGGGTTAGTAAACTCTTCAGAATCTTCCAAATGTTTTCAAAGTTGCTTTGAGCTTTGCAAACATTCTCCCTCTAATTTAAGTTATTGTTTTTCCAAGAGAATTTGAATTTAAAACATAGCTTTCTTAGCTAAATATAAGTCCATTGTGCACAAACAATGAAAATCTCTTTTAAAAACAATTCTTATTCTACATGCCAAGGGTTATACAATCTCAAATAGTGTGAATCCTTTTGCATGGTTTCACTCGGTGAAAAGACTATTCTGACAATCTAGAAAATCAGATAAGGATCAGATTTTAAAACCTCTGGCTTTGATTCTACATCTTACTTGAATTCTTTCAGAATTAGAGCCTAAAAGTTGTGATTTTGGGGCAGGGGAAAGGACATTGAGAATATATTTCAAACTTTTCGAGAATACACAGCTTTTTAAATTATTACTAAAACCCGTTCTCTCTGGACAGAGATTTCTGCACGCAGTGGAAACAAGCTTTGGTTAGAAGCACAAGAAGCCTGTGCTAGTGCATAAGAAATTTAGATTGAACCATATTAGCAAAGGAACTGGAAATCGATTGGTCTGCTTCCAAGATGCAGTCTAAAACTGCTTTCGCGTTTGTTTTAAGCAACCAGAAGCCATCCCAGCTGCCAAAAGAGGCAGTTCAACATTTCCTCCACCACTGGTCTTTCATTCCTTCCCCCACGCATCTCCTCTCTTGTGTCAGCACCAGCATCCGTACAAGCACATGGTAAACAGCTTTTCGAGTCTCTCCTCACACAGCAGCTGCTCCGGGCCCATGCTCGGTTTTGGTGCCCCGCTCTGTGCCCTCGCAGCCCCCGCTGTGTTTTTGAAATGCAGAGAACTGCATGCTGTACCCGCCATGGGGATGCTCTGAGGGTTTACGGAAATCAGCAAAATGCTACCTTATGTCTCCTTTTCCATTCCCCTGCCAAGGATACCCAACATTTTGTTGGCTTTTTTTGCTGCTGTTGCACAGTGAGCCGTTGAGTGTGAGCTGCCGGTGATGACTCTAAGGTCTCTTTCCAAATTTATGAGTGCCACATCCAAGTTCAGCATCATTTAAACAGAGTTTATACTCTTTCTCTCTAGATGCATTACCTTACATTTTTCTAGACTAAAGCTCACCTGCTGACTTTACGTATGCTCACTCACTTTTGTCAGATCCTTCTGGAGGCCCTCAGCATCAGCACAATATTTGGTTATTCAAGAGGACTCGAACTTTTGTTTCTGTTGGTTGTGTTGCCTCTCTTTTGGAGCAATCCAGCCAATCTGTATTCTCCTAGGAATGCCTTTGCTCATATAGAATATTCTCTGTGATCTTGCTTAACTTCTCTGGCTTTTTTCCTGTGCTGAAACTCTTCTGGCCACCTAGAAGATGATAGATATATTACTGTTTGTTTTTATAGGAGGGCTATTGTGATGAATACTTTTATATTACTCACTAACATATGCTTTTAATAGCAAATGGTAACAAAGGTTCCAACATCCTACACTTAGAGAGGTGGACAGTTACATACTGTTGCTAGCTAATGCCAAAATTTATAATGTGTCCAGCTCAACAATGCATTTCAGAGTGCCCTGTTAACTGACCACAAGATTTTGAGCATTTTCCTATTCCTCCTCTCATTTTGCCTGTTCTCACAAAACCTGTATGAGATTAAAGCAGATGGTAATCTGGTAATGAAATGGTAATGAAATTTCCTGGAAAAGATTTTTCAGTGTTTGGGTGTTTGCAAAAATCTGGAAGTAAATTTACACTGGAAGATTTGAAAACCATTCACATAGGAGCCGTGTCCCAAAAGGCACATGATCTGGTGGCTCCCTCCCAGTACCATGAACTGGGGAGTCCTCCAGACATTTTATTCCACCTCTTCATCAGCTGACTGTCGTGATGGCCAAAGTAATAACACTTGGTGCTTACACAGCAACTCTGCACAAATACTGCTTCAGAAGTAGTTTTTGGAGGGGAAGCAGAGCCTCAGGAAAGTGACACATCCATAAATCTCCTGAATCTTGTGCTTATTTCACTGGACTGCTGTGCACCAACACTGTTTTTTTTCTAAAGCCAGTTCACACTCAGCACATCCTCTGTGATGCTGGTGTGGAAACTGAGATCATTTGACAACCTGGCCCCCAGTGCTTTGGGAAGAGGTAGTTATCCAGAGCCCTGACTTGATTTCCCATCCTCTTGTGCTAGCTCATGACTGTACCCCTGGCCTCTAAAACCTGCTGAGAAGAACGCATGTGTATGCTGTGATTGAAAGCCGTGGCGTGAAAGCAGCTGGGCAGAAAAAGTCATTTTGGTGGATGCAGCCGCTACATAATGAGCCATGCCTACCTTCTGCCTGCTAGGAGCGTACAGAAGACAGGAAAAATCTGCATCCTCAGGTCTCTGTGATCTGTGGGTGGATTAGCTTGTGGTGCCACTTTCCATTAATATCCATGTCTCCCACACAGCGTGACAGAGTATGTGTCTCAGAAGTATGCTGCCTGCACCAGGCTCGCCTCTTGCCACTGCTGCCTAAAGCTGCTCCTGCCCCTTGCAGACCTCTTTTGAGAACT